ACCTGCGCATCAGAGGGCATACCGGTCCCGGAAAGTCCCCCACCCCAAGAGGCGATACTAACCTGGTGATAATGTAAGGACCAAAACAGATCACGAACGACCCTATAAAAATACTGATTTTCTTGGTAGCCCGCTGCCTCCTCCGTTTCTGCTCATTAAGACAGCGCTGCTTCACACTGCAAAGGGAAAAGAGCAGTCGGTGGGTTAAGGCAAGAAGCAAGGAGGCGAGATGTGAGCCCAGGGGAGAAGGGAAGGACTCGCTCCCGGCCCGAGAGCCCCTGCCCCGGGGGAGGGGAGGGCAGCCCCGGCCCCGCCGAGCCTGGGGACGATCGCACTCACCAAAGCAGCGGCTCCCTGTTAAAGGGAGCTCGGGCAAGTGGGAGCACCCGGCGAGTGGGACTAGCATTTAAACAATGCAGGCTACAAATGCAGAAGCCACCGTCTTCTGGCACTATAAGCAGCGTCTGAAACTAGAGGCAGAAGCGTTCGCCATGTGGCCGGGGCAGGCAGGAGCGCAGGAAAGGGTGCTGGGGAGGCAGGACATCCTCTCCGCCCGCGGTACCTACCGCAAGTGCCCCGGGGCTGTGAATACGAACACGCACGCATTACCTGGGGTGGATATCCACCAGCAAAACCAGAGTCTGCATGGTAATAATGTCTATCCGCTTGCAGTGGAACCGGGCAACTTTCAACACCTTTAAATAGGTGAAACACAAGATCACCAGCGACAGCATGAAACTGGTGGAGTGAAAGACGATGGTGAACACTGTAAACCTTCTCCGCTCCGTCTCTTCCTTCAGGTGCAAGGTGCAAGAGGCATAAACGCTGCTGTAATCTACCCACGAGTAAAACAAGGATACCAAGGGGAACGTGAGGGAGTGGAGCCACGAGTAGCCCATCAGTATCACAGCGTCCTTATACCGCATCTTGCTGGTGTAGCTTAAGGGGAACACCACGGCAATCCATTTGTCGATGCTGAGCGCTGCCATGCTCAGCATCGTGTTGGAAGTCAGGAAAGTTTCCAGGAAACCCACCGCTTTGCAGACGCAGTCCCCGAGGGGCTGCTGGTTCCTCAGGATCCCGAGCAGGGTAAAAGGCATGTTCAGGACGGTGAGGAGCAGGTTGCAAAAGGATAAGTTCACCAGGAAAACGCCGGCGACCTGCTTGCGGATCTCCGTACTGTAGACGAAGCATAGCAGCACCAGGAGGTTGGAGAGCAGAGAGACGACCAGCACCAGCACGAGGAGCAACGCCAGCAGCACGCCTGCCAAGTCCATCTCTCAGCGGGTCGCCTGGAGCG